GGGGCAAGCATCGTCGCTGTAGGTGCCTCTCGTGGCGACCCCCGCACCCCTTTCTTTGAGGGGTGTTCCCCTTCCCCCCTTCTTCCCTCTGTCGCCTCTGCTGCTGCTGTCGACCTCCTTGGTGCTGAGAAGGTCGGGACTGCGTCTGCTCCGAGCTGGCGCCGCAAGGGCTAAGGGGGCAAGGGAGGCGGAGGTGACGGCGGGGGAGGCGGTGGTGGAGGCGGTAGCAGCGGTGGGGGTGGTGGTGGGGCTGGAGGGACTAGTGGCAGCGGTGGGGGTGGTGGTGGCAGCGGCGGGGGCGGTGGCAGGGGCGGGGGCGGCGGTGGGGGCGGAGGTGGTCGTGGCAGCGGCAGGGGAGGGGGTGGTCGAGGAGGTGGCGGCGGCGGTGGTGGTCGTGGAGGCGCTGGCGGTGGCCAGAGCCAGCAGCACACTCCGTCGCCCCAGGAGGTCCGTGAGTGGTACTCTCAGCACGGGGGGGGGGGGGGGGGGGGGGGGGGTGGGCTTAGCTGCACGTACGTCATCCGCACTGGTGACCGCACTGGCCAGACGTGTGGGAGGCCGCATGCCACACAGCGCTGCTTCTCTCGCCTCGACGACGCCTGGCGTACTCAGTTCCCTGATGCCACTGAGCTGCCCCGCTGGTTTGATCTGCTGAAGAAGGGGGTTGATATCTATGCTCTAGACTTTGATGCTATTCTCACTGCCATGTATGTGATGTTTACTAGTGGAGAGGGTGCTCAGTACCTGCGTGTTCGGCCCGGCCCGGGCATTCGGACCAGTGAGGCTGCCGCTCTAGGTGCTAGTGCGACTGCCGCTCCAGGTACTCGCGTGTCTGCTACCCCAGGTGCTGGTGAGGCTGCTGCTCTAGGTGCTCGTGCGTCTGTCCCCCCTGGTACTGAGTCGACTGAGGCACTGCACACCTTCACACTAGACTCAGGTGCTTCTCGCTGTTTCTTTCGTGACCGCACTGACCTTGAGCCACTCGCTCGGCCAGTTGCTGTCTCCCTCGCTGACCCCTCTGGGGGTCCGGTCATTGCGACCTCCTCCACTGTCCTTCCTTGTCCTGCGGTCCCGTCGGGCACACTGTCAGGTCTCCACCTCCCCTCGTTCTCTACGAACTTGGTGGCGGGTTGTGCACTCCAGGACGGGGGTGTTCACCAGTTCACCCCTGCCTACGAGCGCGTGACACACTGCACGTGTGCTCGGACGGGCCGTCACCTGGCTACCTTCACTCGGCAGCCAGGGTCGGACCTGTACACACTGACCACTGAGTCCCCTCAGGTAGCTGCATCTGCGTCTGCGTCAGGTCAGCTGTCGGCCCCCTGCTCGTGTCGCTCTCTGGCGCACGAGACCGTCCTCTGGCACCACCGACTTGGTCACCCGTCTGTGCAGCGCCTTCGTGCCATGCACAAGCGGTACCTTGTCTCTGGTCTTCCCAGGGTTCTCCCTCCCCTCCCACCCTCGCCTGCTCCTCCCTGTCTTCCCTGTGTCGAGGGGCGGCAGCACGCCGCTCCTCACTCCTCCTCGTTTCCCCCGACGACTGCTCCCTTGCAGATGCTCCACATGGACGTGTGGGGCCCAGCCCGCGTCCGTGGTCAGGGTCAGGAGAGGTACTTCCTGATAGTTGTTGACGACTACTCGCGCTACACCACGGTCTTCCCCTTGCGCACCAAGGGTGACGTCCCTGATGTTTTGATCCCTTGGATCCGCAGAGCCCGTCTCTAGCTTAGCGAGCGTTTCCGCTCGGACTTTCCTGTCCTGCGCTTGCACTCTGACAGAGGTGGTGAGTTCTCCTCCGACCTCTTGGCAGCCTACTGTGCCGAGCACGGCATTGAGCAGTCGTTCACGCTTCCGGCCTCTCCACAGCAGAATGGGGTTGCTGAGCGCCGCATTGGCTTGGTCATGGAGATCGCTCGTACCTCCTTGATTCATGCGGCTGCCCCCCACTTTCTGTGGCCGTTTGCGGTCCGATACGCTGCGCATCAGCTCAACCTCTGGCCCCGTGTCTCCTTACCGGAGACTTCTCCGACGCTGTGGTGGACGGGAGAGGTTGGCGATGCGTCGCGTTTTTGGGTCTGGGGATCTCGAGCTTTTGTTCGCGATACGTCTGCGGACAAGCTCTCCTCCCGCGCTGTTCCTTGTGTCTTCCTTGGCTTTGTCCCGGACGCGCCTGGCTGGCAGTTTTACCACGTCACCTCGCGCCGGGTTCTGCCTTCTCAGGACGTCACTTTCGACGAGTCCGTCCCCTACTACCGCCTCTTCCCCTACCGCACTGCCCCGCTCCCCCCCCCGCCTCTCTTCCTTGCTCCAGGTGCTGCTGTGGTAGACCCCCTCCCCCCTCAGGGTGCCGCTCCCTCAGGTGTGTCCCAGGTAGACCCGGTTGAGCCTGTTGAGGTAGCTGTCGACTCTCGTCCTGCTAGGGGTGCTGAGCCTGAGCGTGCGGAGCCTGATTGTGCGGAGCCTGGGGGTGCTGAGCCTGGGGGTGCGGAGCCTGGGGGTGCTGAGTCTGGGGGTGCGGAGCCTGGGGGTGCTGAGCCTGGGGGTGCTGCGCCTGGGGGTGCTGCGCCTGGGGGTGCGGAGCCTGGGGGTGCTGAGCCTTGGGGTGCTGCGCCTGGGTGTACTGAGTCTGGGGGTGCTGAGTCTGGAGGTGCTGAGCCTGGGAGTACTATACCTGGAGGAGCCCTCTCCTCACAGCAGCTGCAGGAGAGGTACCTACAGTACTGCAGCCTCAGGAGAGGTGCTTCTGGAGCCAGGAGTGCTGCTGGAGCTGGTACTAGTGCTTCCCCTCCTACGCGGGAGCTACCCTCCCTTCAGCGGATCCGAGAGTGGTACACGCGGCGCTGCAGTCTTCGGAGTGGCGCTCCTGGTGTCGCGGACCCTGGTGCGGCAGGTGCTACTGCTGCTGGCGGTGCTGCTGGTGGTGGTGCCGCTGGAGGTGCTGCTGGTGCTGCGGACCCTGGAGTTGGAGCTGCTACTGGTGCTGCGGACCCTGGAGTTGGAGCTGCTGCTGGTGCTGCGGACCCGGGAGTTGGAGCTGCTGCTGGTGCTGAGGACCCGGACGTTGGAGCTGCTGCTGGTGCTGCGGACCCTGGAGTTGGAGCTGTGGCTGGTGCTGCGGACCCGGACGTTGGAGCTGCTGCTGGTGCTCCAGACTCGGGAGTTGGAGCTGCTGCTGGTGCTGAGGACTCTGGCGCTGGTGTCTCTGCTAGTTCTGGAGACGCTGCGCGGCCGCGACCATACTTCGTACCGCTCCTTCAGCAGGTTCTTGGTCAGGCTCCTCCTCCTTGTCCTCCTCCTTTTTCTTAGTGCAACGTTCACTAAGCTAGAAACCTAGCTCTAATAGCATGTAGAATGAGGATTGGTGAAGTTAAGATACAATGAACGAAGAAAAAATATTTATCAGTAGTAGGAAGATGGTACAAGCCTGAGAGGCTAAAGCAATGTCCTTATCCAAGGATGAGTTCTAGAGAAGTGGGAAGCCACATATATGAGACTGAACTCCTAAGGCTAGTTGCAGCACCTCGAAGCTGAGGGCAAGGCTAGACAACCTTGCTAAGCTAACAAATGAGGACTCATGTTGCACATGTGGGCCAGGTTGGATCAACAGCCTACATGGCAGCATGTGGCACACCATATAGGCTAGCAAGGTGAGTATGGGATGAGTGGACAGGTGGCAATGCCAACTGTGACCACATTTCATTGTGGGTGAGTGTGGTGGAATGTGGACATGTCCTGGTGAGCATAATGAAAATGGAAAGTGCAGCTGCTGAGAGTTGAACCCGCGACCTCTAAGACCAAAGGTGGAAATCTACCCACTGGGACATTCTTGCTGCACAACAAGGCTTTTGACTAGTCCCTCGAACTTGAACTGTTCGAGTTCGAGGCAAACACACTCAGGGGATTCTAGCAAACCCTGAAGTGTTCGCCTGCACCCTCGAACAACAACCACCTTTCTTGAAAAGAAAAAGTCTGTGCAAACCGAACGCGTTCGGATCGCCTAAGGTAAGTGTTCGCCGGGGTTCGAGGCAAATACATTTTGCCTTTTGCTCATGTCTAAGTATGGTTATGTGAATGGATGCAGGAGAAAACAATACAAAAGGAGAGGTGGGGCACCGATGAGGTTGGGGAGAACAAAAGGAGAGTAATAAATGAAGATGCTCAAGGCTTGGAGACAGATGAGACAAGGCAAGATGTTAGTTAGAAGAGCGTTAACCATGATAAGTGACGGAAAGATGATATCAGGATATCCACTCATGGGAAATGAATCGAGTGAGATTGATTACAACAAGAAAGAGGCGACATAGAGGACAGACTGGTAAATAGAAGACTTGAACAGAGGGAAAATGGAGGCACAGGATTGAATAACGGAACTGACAGGAAGGAGAGCTTAGGGTGAGCACACACAGGTCATGTGCGAATAACAAGGAAAATATTTCTTCCTTACATGCTTGCCAGCTCAATTAGCAAGCCAATGCCAGCCGGAAAGGAACCATTCAGTTTGTTTCTTTCCAAAAACCTGTATTAAACAGGGTGTTTACGTAGGGGGGAAGGGGGGGGAGGGGGGGGGGGGGGCAGGAGGGTGAACAATTAAATGGGCAAGGTCATGAAATACGGAGCGATATGTTTCTAATTGGGGCATGTGTCTGGGAGGGTAGGATAATGCACGGAATTTGCAGCTGTGGATAGGCTATGCATCCTACAGTGGGAAGGAAAGACGGGATGGTGCCACTAAGCTTACAGGTTGGGGACGGATGTGAGGTCGGAATTGGTTGGCTATAGACAGGCGTGTCAATGTCTTTGGTGAACAGTTGGAAAACAAAAACATTAGTGGAAACAAAATCTACACCCTGGGCACCTTAGTTGCAAGAGAAGAGTATGCGGCAGAAGCCCCGAAGAAGGGCATGCATGGGACACACCAAAGACGCTTCTTTGTTAGCGCACATGTCCTTCAAGCGAGTTGTAAGCAAACTCGTTTCAAGCAGTGGGGCATAGAAACTCACAAACTCGAGAGCGTAGTGAGCTTTGTGATTGAGGAGGGCACGGAGCCCGAAAGCATGTTGGAGTAGAGATTGCTGACGAAGCAAGGGAACAATTCACGATGCATACAGGTGGCTCAACGTGGAAACAGGACAGAATAGCCAGCTTGAGTCCCGGGATTCAATATACCCCATTCACTGCAAAACGTTTCGCTGAAACTTCTCACGCCTTTCTGTTGAAGTCCCCAACTCGTTTCTGTTGGTGTTAGCCCTCAATCTCACAATTTGTACTTGTACTTTTATATCCTAGTTTAGTTTAGTGTAGTTTGCACTTTGCGCTTGCTTGGGTGTACACCCACATCCAAACCAAACCCAAATGTGCTCTCCAAGCAATTGGAGCTTGCCTTGGGATTACCCTTGATTCCCTAGGATTGCCCCCTGAATCCCTTCTCATCCATACCTTGCTCATTCCTGATGTACTTAAAGAGGCTTGAGCTCACTACTAATGTATCAGTTCTAAGCCTAAGTTCTGACATGGTATCAGAGCCCTTCAACCGCATACGCGGATCGTGATCCTCTTATCTCTGCGGTTGCTCGTCCCTCAAAACTCGGCGTAGCCATCGTCAATCTCGTCGCCGGTGATTCGCGACATTCGTCGGCGGAAATTCTCCCGCACCACGTTCCCGTCACTTTCGACGACAATTTCTCTGGTAAGCGCATCGTCGGCGCTACAACATAACGCTCCTTTTCGTTGAACGACATTTCGTCACGTCTTCTCCTCGTCGGGCCGTCGCCCGTCGCCCTGCAGCTTCTCGTCGGGCCGCCGCCCGTCGCCCCGCAGCTTCTCGTCGGGCCGCCGCCCGTCGCCCCGCAGCGTCATCTTCGGGCTGCCGCCCGTCGCCCCGCATCTGCACTCCTACCCCATCCCCCCTTCCCGCAGCTGAACAGGTGCAGCAGCGCAGCCGAGCAGCAGCGTAGCCGCGAAGCCGAGCAGCCGTGTAGCCGCGAAGCCGAGCAGCAGCGCAGCCGCGAAGCTGAGGGTGGTGTGTGGGGGGGTGTGTGGGATTAGGGTTAGATCTACGGAAATCGGCCGATTCGACCTAATTTCGGCGACCTCAAAAATCCTTCTACGAGGCATTCTGACGTGGCCGACATTGACGATTTTCGCTATTCGACTCCTTCGGATTTCGAAATCGCCGCGCTGCGCGCCGCTCGTGAAGCTAAGGGGTCTTCATCATGGCTCTCTCCTCTTCCACCATGGCCAACCCATGGAGCTACGGGGTTGACAAGCACCTCATGAGTTGTGACGTGCAGGGATTGGACCTCAAGGACGTCCTCCTCAACCGTGGCAAGGCAATGGAAAAAGCCCACTCTCCCCCGTGAGCCGACCTAATCTTCTAATGATGCTGACGTGAGGGCGTACGAGGAAGCTGTTGAGAAGTACCGGAAATGGGAGAAGGCCGATGCTGCCATCATCAGCGTCTTCATCGCCTCCACCCCTCCCGAACTTGTCAACACGTTCCATAACTACCCTACCTCCAACGCCATCTGGAAGTATCTCCAGGATCGGTTCATGAACAAGACGGCGGTCGGAGTGGCCATTCTCATCCCCAGCATGTTTCAGGTCCGCCTTGAGGACTGCTCGGGAATGGCCGACTACATTGCCAAGGTGCAGACCATTCATGGCGAACTCAAGGAGCTGGGTATAGTCTTCCCCGAGCAAGCCCCTGCAGCCGCCCTTCTTGTTGGTCTCACCTCGGCATATGAAGTCACGAGGAAGATGCTCCTCACGCTCTCAGCGGAAGACCTCACTTTCGCTAAGGTCTCCACCGTACTCCTCTCTGCCGAGAAAGACTCCACGGCTCAGGCCAAGGCTTACACCATCCGCGCTCCCATGCCCCAAGCAAGTGTCGCAGCGGCTCTCGCCTCGGCGCCCTTCCAGCGCAACCGCTTTCCTCCGTGCCCCTACGTCGTCAAGTATGGCAACCGCAAGGGACAAGTGTGTGGTGGCACTAACACCCTTTTGCTACGTGCTTCAAGAAGAAAGACGACGAGTGGTATGCCATCCACGGAGTTGACAAGAAGCCGCCAAACTGGATGCGCCCTCGTAAGGCCAACCTCGTTGAGGTCCAGGACCCCGCTTCGGCTAGTGCTAGTGATAGTGCTCCTGCTGATGTGCGTATCAACCTGTTGTTCCCTGGCACTGCCATGATTAATGAAGCTACCTCCCAGTACATCGGCTCATCACAGGCACCACAATACATAGAGTTCACACTCGATAGCGGGGCCACTCACACTGTGCTCAAGGAGACACTCTCCTTCAAACCCTACCCAACACCTATCCCTCTCTTGGGAGCTGACTCCAGCTTCACCAATCTCGCCAAGGGTACCTCCACAGTCCCATGCCCCGCCTTCCCATCCGGCACTGTCACTGGCATGTGCGTGCCTTCACTACGCCACAATCTAGTGGCTGAAACGAAAATTCAAGAAGCAGGGCTACGCACCTATTCTCGGAGAACGAGGACTACTGCGACATCATCGATCCACTCACCAACAAGGTCTTGGCCCGCTTCACCCTCAATAGCAGCGGCCTCTACACGCTACGCGTACCTCTCCCACAGGTTTCAACCACCCAAGCACAGGCTACCATCACACCATGCTCATGTCGCGGCCTCTCCAACCCGACCATCCTTTACCACCATCGGCTAGGGCACCCAAACTTCCGCACGCTTGCTGACATGGCCTCCAAGAAACTCCTTCTCGGCCTACCAGCCACACTTCCTCCACCACCTGACTCACCCGCTCCCACGTGCCTTGATTGCACCAAGAGCAAACTGCGCCAACAGCCCCATCCTGCCTCACCCACAGTCGCAGCAGCACCACTGGACCTAGTGCACATGGACGTGTGGAGCCCTGCCCCCGTTCTTGCACGAGGTGGCTATCGCTACTTCCTTGTTATCGTGGATGACCACTCCCGCTACGTCTCTGTTCACTCCTTCACACTAAGGCTGAGGCTCCAGAGGTCATCATGGCGTGGGTCAAGCAGGCACAGACCACCTTTGACCGCCAGACAAGCGCCTTCACTCGGATGGGGGGGGGGGAATTTTGCAACGACAAGCTCAAAGCCTTCTGCTCCTCCGAAGGCATCCAGCAAAACTTCACCCTTCCCGACAGCCCGCAACAGAACGGCATAGCAGAAAGCCGCAATCACACCCTGGTGCAAATCACTCGGTGCCTCCTCAGCCACTCCAATGCTCCACTCTCTCTCTGGGGATACGCCCTCTACCATGCTACCCTCCTCTACAATCTTTACCCCCACCCGCATCTTCCCAACACCACTCCTACCGCACTTTGGCTCGGGAAAACACCCTCTGCTCGCTCTCTTCGCGTCTGGGGGTGCACCGCCTATGTCCTCCTCAACCCTCAGGCTAGGCGGCAGCACGGTGGCAAACTCGGCCCCAAGACTCAAACGTGCGTCTACCTTGGGCACAATGCCGACTCCCCTGACTACCTCTTCCTCAACCCCTCCACTCAACAGCTAGTCCGGACCCGCGACGTGGTCTTTGATGAGACCCGCCCATTCTACTCCACCTCGGGTCGGGATCCTCCCTCTGATCCGCCCTCTCTCGTCTGGGCAGATTTTGATGCGCCTAAGGATGAGAAAAAAAGCGAACACCTGTTCGAGGCGAACCGAACAGGTTTTTTTTTTTTTTGCTTTAAGTGTTCGCCGAACACTGTTCGATGTTCGCCCGAACACGTTCGTGTTCGGGCCGCTGCTGCAATTTGCCCCTAGACGAACACGAACGTGTTCGAGGTTCGCCCGAACACGCCTTCATAGGCGAACGGCGAACACCTGTTTTTGCTTAAGGTGTTCGCCGAACCGAACAGTGTTCGGTTCGCCGAACAGGGGTGTTCGTGCATAGGCGAATGCGAACACGTTCGTGTTCGCCCCTTGCTCATCCCTAGATGCGCCTCCCGAACTCTCGCCTGCACCGGCCCCCTCACCTCCTACCTCTCCTGCCATCGCACCATCCCCCTCTGAGGTCTCTGACCCGCCCTCACCGGTGTCTTCGGTAGCTGCTCCTCCATCCCCCTCACCTTCCCCACTGCCCGCTGTGCCGCCACCTCCGAGCGCACCAATAACATACCATCGGCAGTCAACCCCTCCGGCCCCACCTCCTCCACCAGTCCCCTCTTCCGCCCAGGCACCCGCTCCACCGCAGTCATCCGAACTGATCACGTACCAGCGACGACCAATTCCCCCGCCTAAGCCTCCTAAACCGACCCCTCCAACACCGCCTGCTCCACCGTCCTCTCCGGTGGCTCATGGCACTCGCTCTCATGGCCTTGCTCTTCCACTGGCCCTGGTTCTTCGCTGCACAGCGATCACTCCGCCTCCTCCTGCTGGGGGGGATATGCCCTTTACCCTTCTGGAAGACATTCATGAGGAGCTGTGTGATCTTCATGCAGTCACTCCTCAGCTCTCGCACATCTTCCCCGACATCACTGAGTCACCCTCACTCAACTTCACGGAAAACCACTGAGTCACCCTCACTCAACTTCACGGAAAACCCAACCATCCCCATCCCTCTCACCGTTCAAGAGGCTCTCTCGGGTCCCCATGCTGCCGAATGGCGTGCTGCCATGGAAGCTGAAATAAAAGCCTTCACCCGCAACCACTCCTTCGACGACGAAACTCCACCTCCAGGAGTTAACATCGTTGGTGGCAAGTGGCTGTTTCGAGTGAAACAGCTTCCGGACGAGGCCCCGGTGTTCAAAGCGCGTTACGTGGCCAAAGGTTTCACCCAGCAGCAGAACCTGGACTTCTTCAAGACCTTCTCCCCCACATCCAAACCACCCACTGTTCGCACGCTCTTGGATGTAGCAGCACGAGAAGACTTTGAGATCAAATCCATGGACGCATCCTCGGCCTTCCTGCAAGGACGCCTCAAGGAAACCGTATTCATGGATCGTCCTGAAGGCTTTCCAGGAGAGTTCCCTCCCAACACTGTCTGGAAGCTGAATCGCCCTGTCTACGGCCTCAAGCAAGCCCCTCGGGAATGGCACAACAAAGTGAAGGAAGTCCTTCTCTCACTGAACTTTCACCCATCCTCTGCCGACCCGACCCTCTTCATTCGTCGCCACTCTGAGCCATTCTACATCCTTGTCTACGTCGATGACTTCATCCTCGTTGCCAAGGACTCGGCCCAGATGGCCTCTGTTCAGGAGGCCCTAAGCAAGGCCCTCTTGATGAAAGACCTCGGTGACCTCAAACACTACCTGGGGATGGAAATCACTCGCGATCGTTAGGCTCGCACCATCTCTCTCTCCCAGGAGTTCTACATCAACAATGTGCTCAAGCGGTTTGAGATGGAGCTGTGCACACCCATCGCCACCCCACTGCCGCTACAACACCTCCTCACCGCCCCAGCTGTACCCACACCAGAGGCATGCACTGAGCCGTACCCAGAGCTTGTTGGGTCCCTCATGTACGCCATGATGTGCACCCGGCCTGACTTGGCATACCCTGTCAGTGTCCTCTCTCGATATGTGGCTCATGGGTGCTTCACAGACCTTCATTGGAAAGCGGCAAAGCGGGTGCTGCGCTATCTGCAGGGCACCAAGTCTCATGTCCTCACCCTTGGTGGGCTTTCCCCTCCTCGACTGGAAGGTTACACAGACTCCTCCTGGGCGGATGACCAGACCGACCGACGCTCCTCCCAAGGCTACTGCTTCACCCTTGGGAGCGGGATTGTCAGCTGGCGCTCCACCCAGTAGTCTGCAGTCTCCCTCTCCTCCTGTGAAGTCGAGCTCTATGCCGGCACCATGGCAGCTCAGGAAGTCCGCTGGCTCACATTCCTACTCCAGGAGCTTGGCTTTCCTCAGTCCACTCCCACCCTCTAATGTGACAACCAGAGCACCATTCACCTCTCCCAGGATCCCGTGTACCACACTCGCACCAAGCACATCGAACTTCGTCACTTCTTCATCCGTGACCTTGTCCAGCGAGAGCAGCTCAATGTGGAGTATGTGGCCTCCGACTGCAACTTGGCTGATCTGTTCACCAAGCCCCTTGGGAAGGTCCCTCACCATCGCCTTCTAGGCGCCGTGGGGCTCTGCGCTCCCCCTTCTCCACCCTGAGTTCGATTGACGCCTATGGGGGGGTGTTGGTGTTAGCCCTCAATCTCACAATTTGTACTTGTACTTTTATATCCTAGTTTAGTTTAGTGTAGTTTGCACTTTGTGTTTGGTTGGGTGTACACCCACATCCCAACCAAACCCAAATGTAATCTCCAAGCAATCTCCAACCCACCAATTGGAGCTTGCCTTGGGATTACCCTTGATTCCCTAGGATTGCCCCCTGATTCCCTCCTCATCCATACCTTGCTCATTCCTGATGTACTTAAAGAGCTTTGAGCTCACTACTAATGTATCAGTTCTAAGCCTAAGTTCTGACAGTTTCCTCCCCCATAATCGTGCTCCCGCAACGTAAGTTAAACCAAGCCATCCAATCTACTTGCGTGAAGGGGCTCAAATGTTCTGCCCACAAAATTTTCTCCCGCTCCTGTAACCCTACCCTAAGCAATGGGCTCCGTACCACATTTTTTGCTTTCTCCCTTTCCCACTTACCTGACCTTACACAGCCGCGGGCACTGTTCTACGGGAAGAGGAAGATTTCTAACTACCCGGCCAAGTGTATCTCTAGCGTCTGCCCCATCTGTCAAGGAGTGTAGACCGTTTTTATGCTAGCGCAAATGCATTAGAGTAGAATATGTTGGCCGATGTATTTCCAACTGAGCTTCTAACCTGGAATTTACAGACCACCACTCCTTCCTATCAGGGAGGAGTGGAGAAAATGAACAAACAAATGAAGAGGAGAGAGCAGCTAACACAAGTAAGGTAGAGTAGTGGGCAGTGCAAAAGGCATGCGGCAATCACGAGTGGAGAAGTGGCAGTTGATGCCAGACAAGAGTACCAGTAAAGGAAGCCTCACATGGAGATCATGCTGGTCAGCCACCCAATGTCTGCCGGGATAGAGCCAGTGAGCGTGTTGTTAAAGAGAAACCTGCACGGACAAAGAGCGGGGATTGGGTACATCTGTGTGTGAGAGTGAGTGAGGGAATGAGAACAAGAGTGAGTGAGGAGCGAGCCCTGGCGCGAAGACCAGCCACATTCAACTGGGTGGATGCCTTAACCCCGTTAAACGAAAGTGATTGAACTTGAACTACAAACTTAACTTGGCAACACTTAACATCACTTGCAGCGCTTCGATTGTGACAGCTTGTCACCTCAGAGACAAGGGCGTAAAAAAAAATACAAGTGAGTAGTTATGTCTTGCTCAGCTTGTAAGACTAGCAATCTGGTCGAGAAGAGTTTCGGCAGCACCAGGGTAATGTTTCTACTCTCGTCAATACGAAGTAGTAGAATTCATTGGAAAACCTGGAATGCACGGTTATGGGGTTTAGATTAATTTCTACAGGTAGAAGCACATAATTATATAAATTATACGCACGGGCTCCTGCAAACAGAAAACAGTTGTTTAACTAGTTCACAAGATTTCACCACGCTGTATTTGAAAACGGTTGCATAACTTCTTGAACATTTGGTTATATCCTCCTCGTGTTAACTGTCTTCAAATTGCATTTGTAACAATTGCCCCCACTAGCTCAAATGTGTGCATTCATGAGACTCGCATGTGACTCCAATGTAGCTCTCATGAGTTCATGCGAGCTCACAGTTATAAAATGGCTTTTACTGTTCATGAGCAAAAGGTGAGTCGAGTAAAACTCGACTCATTTTCAGCCGACTCGCTTTGGAAAAATTCGAGACGAGTATTACTCGCCTGAGAAGTGTTACCACTAGACCTGACTCATTCCTCGTTAATTCAAAAGGGCTACCCGAACAAGAGGATTGCTAAGCGTCCGCGACAACGTCTGGCATCTAGCATTTGGACCGGGCCGGGCCAGCCCGACCTATTCACGCCATGGTCGACACGGTCGAGCCGCCCTTTGGCCCATCACATTTGTCCAGACCACGGGCCGACGCCCGCGCTGGGCCAGCCAGCCTGCCCCCGCACGTCCTAGGCTGGAATGGGTCCAGCCCGTGCCCATGTCTACTCACAGATATTTGAGCAGGCTCAGCGCAGTCACTGTGGCAGGGATGCTGCCAGGCAGTTGGTTGCTTGCCAGGTCACTGTGAGGAGATACAACGGCAGCAAGGAGGGTAGGCTGACGAGATGAGCAAACCACAAGGGAGAAGGGGAGTGTTTCTCGAACACAAACAAACCACGCAGTCTGCCCACCTATGCAACAAGTCCAGCCCATGTCGCCCACCCATTGCTGAGCATCATCCATAGGCCTGAGCAAGGGTCCGAGCCGAACCACCTTGGCTCGAGCTGGGGTGGGTTTGTTTTTATCATGACTTTAGCCAAGTCGGCTCAACACGAGCTGAGAAAACTTCTGCCCGGCTTGCAAGGTGGCTATTTTGGTTGAGCCGGAAGCTGGCCAGCGACAAGTCGCGTGGGTCGCGAGCCTTTAGCAACTTACCCACGATTTTCTTTTACTCGTGTACTACTTGACGAGTTGAACTTGAAGCTAAAAAACAGGTAGGTAATCAATGAATTGAACTAGCCAGAGTTGTAATCAAGCATCGCGATACGTAGAATGTCATAGAATATAAAGGTAAAGGCTTTTTATTCCATTACATGCTTTGTGAGGTGTAGACAGGTGTGGATTGTGTAATTCGGTTTTACCGAGGAGCAGTTGGGTTTCAGGGGTGACGTGGGTGGGACTGGGATGTGCGGGGTACACTAGGGAGACTCAAGGAGCCTCGAGAAGCAGGAAATCAGAAGTGGCCAATCCCAAGCACAGGAGGCTCGAGCCCAACCAACTCGCTTAGAAATTGGAGACACAGGAGGGCCGAAACAAGTAGCCTAGCACAACCAGGCTGAATCTAGTTCTCTCGTTTGTTTGCTCTCGCTAGTGGATGATTGTTACTGATTCACGTCTAACTCCAGCCTAGGTGACAAGGCCACTGTGTGCAGCCATTTGTGGGAGCGGGAATCTCTCAGGGTAGTGGCTTAGTATGAAGGAGGCAACCAGGGAGCAGGGACAAGACAGAAGCAGGGATGAGAGGGAGAAATCAGCATGAGTGTGAGGACAGAAGCAGGTAACGCAGGAGGGGTTTTCCGACAAGAAGCATGAGCCTAGTGACTGAAAGGTGCATTTGTGCTGCGGATGGAAGGTGGAGTGCCGATTCCCTTCCATGCAGTGAGCAATCAAGGCCTATGTTGGCAGATACGCTCACAGAGGGAGGGGCGTCCCATATGTACGCCTGCAAATATACTAAATATGCAAATACGCTTCGAAATCGCTAGAAATATGCTCGGGCAGCCCGTTGCTAAAAAAACAACAGTTGGAAAACAATCGCGACAATTTGCAATAACGCCATTCTGAAATTTGAATATCAAACTCCAGCCCCTCCTCCATCCCCAACCAACCCACTCGATCTCACAAGCCTCAATTCTCCCCGTGGCTTTCATTCATTTCCACATTTCTCCACTTGCATTTCATCTCCTCTCGACAACCACCACAGACATAGCTTTCCTAGTTTCTCGCCATGGCGACAAGCGACACTCCCTCTTCGTCAAACAATACAGCGTTTGTCGAATAATCGAGTGGCTATGTTGAGAAAGACGAGTTTAGCGTCCAGGATTTTAGCGTCTTGGACGCTGAACGCCCAACCGTCCCTTGCCACAACGCTCAAAAGACGCAGGGCAGGGCAGGGTGAAAAAGCTCAGGCAGGCAAAAAATGTAGGCGTTAGAGGTCGTAGTGGACATTGTAGACTAGGTGTGGAGGTAGACCTACTATCAGCTACTTGATCTAGGGTTTCGAGAAAGGAAAACTAGGTCACCAGAGAGTAAAGCTGAACAAGACGACCTGGTTCACCCAAAAGAGATGGAAATCAAGATAGCTAGGGTTGGAAACCCTAGATTTAGTGCCATAATGTGAGTTTGTGAGGGAAATAATGGTTGGGAAAGCATTTAGGGGTCAGAATGTCTTTGAATGGGCCTCAATTTAATGAAAATTAGGAGGGATGAGCAAGGGGCGAACACGAACGTTTTTGCGTTCGCCCATGCACGAACACCCCTGTTCGACGAACCGAACACTATTCGGTTCGGCGAATATATTAAGCAAAAACATGTGTTCGCCGTTTGCCTATAAAGGCGTGTTCGGGCGAACCTCGAACACTGTTCGGCGAACTCTTAAAGCAAAAAAAAAAACCTGTTCGGTTCACCTCGGAACAGGTGTTCGTTTTTATGCTCATCCTTGAAAATTATAATTCGCGTCGAAGTCGGGAATGTCAATTTTCGCGGGCCGGGTTTTCTTCGAGCAGCCCGAAAATGTTTTGGGGAAGCGTCCTGCGTCTCGTACAGTATAGATATGAGCAACGGGCGAACACCAAACATGTTCGCACGAACATGTGAAGGGGGCCAACTGAACATGTTCAGTTCGCCCGGTTTTTTTTTAGAGGATTTATGGTGTTCGAGGTTCGCGACAGGGGGCCAAACACTGCATCGAGAGTGCTTTTTCAGGGGGCCAGCTCCTCCCCCGTCGCCTCCCCTCCTCCCCCCCCTCCCCTCTCCTCCTCCCCCCCCCCCCCCTTCCCCCCCCCCCACACCCTCCCCCTTTCCGAACATCGCACAAGTTGGGCCAAACACCGAACATGTGCGGCCGAACATTTTCTGCAAAAAAAAAAAAAAAACAAAAAACAAAAGAAAAAAAAATGTTCGGTTCGTCTCGAACATGTTCATGCTAACTGAACAGACGTTCGCCCTTGTGCTCATGTCTAGTACTGCGGCCAGCGTCCAGAGTCCGGAGGCAAGCGTCTGGACACTGCAACGCCAGAGCGTCTTTCTCAACATAGTCTAGTGGCAACGACAGCGTTGTTCTTGCCAACCCCACTCATACAGACACATCCTGATAGGTTATTCATTTATTTCCAAATAACAAATTTCCTATCACTTCTGGACATACATCCCCACCAACCTCTAGCACTAGCGCCCCCCCCCCCCCCCCCCCCCCCCCCCACAGGCAAACAGGTTATGGAGCTGAGGAGAAGATGAAGTGAAATAGAGAGGGTTGGGCTTGGGAAATTGAGAGGGGTGGTGTGTAGTTGGGGATGTGGGAGGCGCTGGAATTTAATATTCGAATTGCAGAATGGATATGGGTGCTGAGCAAGGTCGAGGAAACAATCAGCGAAGTCGCTTAGCCTTCGCGGATATCGATAGGCTGCCGGAGCGTATTTCAGGGTATCCAAAGCGTTTTAGCGTATTGCTTACATTGGCAGGCGAAGGGCGTTTATACGCAATCCCTCCCCAAGCATATCTGACTATATAGCTAGCGAAGAGCGTATTTACGCAATCCCTCCCCAAGCGTATCTGACTATATAGCTAGCGAAGAGCGTATAATATACACAAACTTAATATTCTAGAAGCGTGTTTCCGCTAGCTCAAGGTGACATGGCGTTGACGACGTACAGACGAGTGACCTTCCTGAGGCTGCTGAGGGAGTTTGGAATCTGCCCTCCCAGCTTGTAGTTGCGAAGTTGCCTGTTTCATTTATGGTATGTGAATGATGGTATGTGAATGATGGTATGTCACTGATGGTGTGTTTTTTATGGTGTGTCAATAATGGTGTGTCATTTGTGGTGAGGCAGTGAAGGAGAGCACCCTTTGCCACACCCTCTCTCTTCCATCCTCTCACTCCCATCCTCTCACTCCCATCCTCTTGCTCCCATCCTCTCGTTCCCATCCTCTCGTTCCCATCCTCCCACTCCCATCCTCTCGCTCCCATCCTCTAACTCCCATCTTCACTCCCATCCTCAAACTCCCATTCTCTCACTCACATCCTCTCACTTCCATACTCTCACACCTATCCCCGCACTCCCATCCTCTCACTTCATCGGATCCCTCCCTCCCACTGCCTCCTTTTCGCCTCCCTCCCAGGGCCTCACAGGTCCACGATCATGCCGGAGGGGTCGCATGTGAGGCCCGTGGCATTGCTGCAGTCGGGACTCGCGCCACTCCACCCGGGGATGCTCTGCCCCCATGCCGCCTGGCACTCTTGCAGGAATTGCACTGCACCGAGTGGCGATGGGTGGGGTTCAGAGTGGCAAAGGGTTGGGGGGGGGGGGGGGGGGGGGGGGGGGGTATACAAATTTTTCAACCTGGCTGACATCAGCCTACAACGATGCTCATCCAAGAATTCCCAAGTGGGCTCCGAGCGAAGGCAGGTACGAAGTGCCGACCTAGACGCTATAGCAGGCTAACCATAAGAGTGGAAAGCTTCGCAATCACAATGTTAACGCACCCCCTGCTAGCCACTGCCCTTCCACAACCAACCTGCAATTGGGAGTGTATGGACAATGATAAGGGTTGAAGTCCGGGCTAAGAAAACGCGTAGCTTCCATTGCGTGCCACGATTTGTATAATCTTCTCCCTAAAGGAACTAGCCACACCTGTGGTGTAACGCCTGTGGGCTGAGTGTTAAAGGCATTCCGCTGCGCCAAATAACACCCTCGTTTTGACCCAGTGGGTAGCGAGGTGTTACATGTGGCATGACTCACCGCGCAGGGGTGGGGACTTCCAGTGACAGCCGCATGTCCTACAAAGCTGGCAAGACCTACCTAGTAGTAATGGGATGTCCCTGACAAAATCCAACGTGAACTACTGGGCACAGCTCTACAACGTGAACTACTGTGCACAGCTCTACAACGTGAACTTCCTCCTCTTGCTCTCGCGCGTCGTAGGCCGTTTTTCTCCTGTGTTCCACGCAGTCGGTTCCACCTCTCCCTCCTTTCCACGCGGCGGTCTGAGCGCGACAGCAGCGCGTGTGGCGCCGGGCGTGCAGCGCGCGACAGCAGAGATAATACTATGCGGTGGCAGATGTTATTTTCAGGTCAAATCGTCACTCCCTCGCATGGCCTCCCACAGCGGCACTCGCCTTGCGTGGCTTCGAGTGGCACAGCCGCGTTCACTATCGCGGCGGGCGCGAGAAGGACGGCGAGCCAACATGCCAGTGCCAGCGCGCACAGCACGCGCACACGCTCACGCGCCATCGCCGTCGCCCCGAGGCGAAGGCCACTCCGGTCCAAGTCCGATTTCTCCCTCGCCTCTCAACCCCGCCTCTCTCGCCGTCCTCTCCGCCGGAGAACGCGCTGGTTGAAACCTGTGAGAATGGTCCGCCGATGCAGGTGCAATGTGGCAAAAGCGGCACCCTAAGCGGCAGCGAACTTGTCTTCTGGTTTCCACCTGTGGGGTGGGGAACGGTTTTGGGTTTTCACCTGTTTTAACGTTACACACCTAACTGAACCCTACTAAGTCAATTGAAAGCAACCAACACCACCTACATGTCCATGTTGTATTTGGCAACCAGATCATGTTGGGGTCAATCCCAACTGCATGCAGATCTTGTTAATGCGGGTTTGCAAATGCATGCAACTGATGGTTTTCGAGAAAAAGGTCGGCTCGTCGGGCAAACCATGCAAACGCATGCCATCCGTATGGGTTTTTTTTTTTTTTTTTTTTTTTTTTTTTGGACCGCAGCAGAAAACGGTATATCAGCCTTTTTGCCCTAGTCAATAGCATGCGATTGCCGATCCGCTCTGGCAAAAATTGGATGATGTTGATATTGGCCCATAATGTTGCACCTAATTTGTGGTGTCAATTTTTGCTGATGAAATTAGGGTACATTCCGCTGTAGACAGCGTCCCAATCGATGTGTCCCAATCGATTCTACCGCACTGCATCTTATTACACCGAATTACACCCTAGTTTCAAAATTTTCGCTTCTCTGGTTTAGTTCGGTTCGGAGCGGTACACCCGATTGGGACATGTACGATTGGGACATGTCCAGCGTGGAATGTACCCTTACTGTCAGCCACGGCTGACTATTCAAGTAAAAACCAGTATGATATTTTTGGGGCTTTGAAAGTTTTTAGTTTGAGGCATATTTTACGGAGAATGGCTACTCTGATTTTTCAAGTTACGCATAAACGCAAGTCTGAAGCACTCAGACCTCACATGGCAAAATCAGACTAGGGAATTTCCAATAGTTATTCGTTGCCTAATTGTCAAACATATATGCTGCTTATTGTGTAGGCTGTAGTGGGGTAGCTCATATGGGGTACAACCCAAATTAGGGTTTCCTACTTGTACCCATCATCCTGCTAGTTCATTCATTCCTGCTGCTAGATTCTAACATGGTTTCAGAGCACTAAGGTCCGTAGGACCGTTTTTTTTTTCGGGCCCACCTACCGCTACGGTTACCGCGCTACCCCACGTACCTGCCTGCCTTGACTTGCATTGTGACGTGCTGCACTACGCGCGCCGTCCAGCAGCCCTAGCGCTGCCTCCTGCTGCCCTAGGCCAGCGCGCTGCCCCTGCAGGCCCGTAAGGCCCGCGCGCCGCCCCTGCAGGCCCGTCACGCCCGCGAGCCGCCCCTACAGGCCCTCCAGGCCCGCGAACCGCCCCTGCAGGCCCGTCAGGCCCGCTGCTGCCGCGCGCTGCCCGCACCGAGCCCGCGCAGCCCGCGCCGAGCCGCGCGCAGCCCGCTGCTGCCGCGCGCTGCCCGCACCGAGCCCGCGCAGCCCGCGCCGAGCCGCGCGCAGCCCGCTGCTGCCGCGCGCTGCCCGCACCGAGCCCGCGCAGCCCGCTGCTGCTGTGCGCTGCCCGCGCCGAGCCCGCGCAGCCCGCGCCGAGCCGCGTGCACCCCGCTGCTGCCGCGCGCAGCCCGCGCCGAGCCCGCGCAGCCCGCGCTGAGTTGCGCGCAGCCTGCTACTGCCTCGCGCGGCCCGCAGCAGCCCGCGCCGAACTGCGCGCGGCCCGCACTGCCTCACGCGGCCCGCAGCAGCCCAGCGCGCTGTCCGCGCAGCCTGCGCCAAGCCGAGCGCGGCCCATTGCTGCCTCGGCCCCGACCTGCTGCTGATGCGGCCCCGCCCTGCAGCTGCCACGGCCCCGACCTGCCACTCACGCGGCCCCACCCTGCAACTGCCGCTGAAGCGGCCCCGCCCTGCAGCTGCTTCGGCCCTACTCTGCAGCCGGTGTTGCGGCCCCGACGTCGCCACCGTCGTGCGTCTACTCGGCCGCCGCCCGTCGAGCGCCGGCCCTGCTCGCCCGGTGAGCGCCTGCTCTTCCAGCCTTTGGTGAGCGCCTGCCTGCCTGTTTGCCTACTGGCCTGACTGCCGGCCTGCCTGCCTGCCTGCCTGCCTGCCGGCCTGTCTGTCTGTCTGCCTGCCTGCCTGCCTGCCTGCTTGCCTGCCTGCCTGCCGCGCCTGCCCTGCCCGAGCTGCTGCTGCTGCTACTGCCACTAGCAGGTGGCCAGATGCAGCACCCACAACGTTCACGCGAGTCTCTCACGCCCCAGCAACTTAGTCAGTGGTATACTAGCTGGGGTTGTCGCGGTAGCCGTCGTAGCTGTCGCCCTGGAGCTGGTCAGTTGGGAGCGTCTGGCAGTGGCCAGCCGCAACTGCAGCAGCGTCCACGCGAGACACCTACGTCCTGGCAGCTCCATGAGTGGTACGCTCAGAGTGGAGGGTCTTCGAGTACAGTTCGCTGCCCGTACGTCATTCGCACAGGTGATCGGACTGGTCAGCCTTGCGGGACGCTTGGTCACACACAGTCCCACTGCTTCGCCCGTCTGAGCGACGCCTGGCGTACCGAGTTTGGCGACGAGGCTGAGCTCCCCACCTGGCTGGAGCTGCTTGGACAGAGGGTAGATATCTTTGCTCTTGACTATGATGCTATTCTCACTGCCATGTATGCATTGCCTACTAGTGTTGACCGTGCCTGTTACCTGTGCGTACCGCCTGACCCTGGTATAGAGCCTGCTGCTCTTGGTGCTGGTGAGGCTGCTGCTCTGGGTGCTAGTGCGTCTCCTGCTCTAGGTGCTACTGAGTCTGCTCTCTCTGGTACTGCGTCTGCTCCGGCCTTGCACACTTTCACACTTGACTCAGGTGCTTCCCGCTGCTTCTTTCGCGACAGTACCACAGTCACTCCCCTCCCTGCACCTGTCCCTGTCTCACTGGCTGACCCCTCTGGGGGCCCAGTGCTTGCACGGTCCACTACTGTGCTTCCCTGTCCTCGGCGGTCTCGTCCGGTGAGCTGTCAGGTCTCCACATCCCCTCGTTCTCTACGAACCTGGTGAGCACCGCCGTCCTTCAGGATCACTGGGTTGACACCTTTACTCCTGGAGGACAGCGGGTGACACACTGCACGTGCTCTCGGACCGGCCGCCACCTGGCCACGTTCACACGTGCGCCTGGGTCCAGTCTGTACACCCTCACCGCTGTGTCGCGTCACGCCCCTTTTTCTCCTCAGCTGCACGTGTCTGCTCAGGTAGCTACCCAGTGCGAGTGTCGCAGCCTATCGCACGTCACTCTCCTGTGGCACCACCGCCTTGGTCACCCCTCCTTGCCTCGCCTGCGTAGCATGCACTCTCACTCCCTAATCTCTTCTTCCCAGGTCTCTGCCTGCCCTCCCTCCCTCGCCTGCGCCGCCCTGCATTCCTTGCGTCGAGGGGCGGCAGCGCGCCGCTCCTCACTCCTCCTCGTTTCCTCCCACAGAGGCTCCACTGCAGACTCTCCACCTGGACGTGTGGGGCCCAGCCCGCGTCCAGGGGCAGGGCCGCGAGCGGTACTTCCTGCTGGTTGTCGACGACTACACGCGTTACACCACGGTCTTCCCCTTGCAGCGCAAGGGGGATGTCCCTGCTGTTTTGATCCCTTGGATCCGCGCTGTTCGTCTCCAGCTCTGCGAGCGGTTCCGGTCGGATTTTCCTGTCCTGCGTCTGCACTCTGACAGAGGTGATGAGTTCTCCTCCGACCTCTTGGCAGCCTACTGTGCGGAGCGCGGCATCCGCCAGACGTTCACGCTTCCAGCCTCTCCGCAGCATAATGGGGTTGCTGAGCGCCGCATTGGCTTAGTCATGGAGGTCGCTCGTACCTCCATGATCCATGCGGCTGCCCCCCATTTTCTGTGGCCGTTTGCGGTCCGGTACGCCGCACATCAACTCAGCCTCTGGCCCCGTGTCTCCTTGCCGGAGACCTCCCCCACTCTGCTGTGGACGGGGAAGGTTGGCGATGCGTCGCGTTTCCGGGCCTGTGGTGCTCGTGCCTTTGTCCGCGATACCACCGCGAACAAGCTCCCCGCCCGCGCTGTTCTCAGTGTCTTCCTTGGCTTTGTCCCTGACGCGCCTGGTTGGCAGTTTTACCACCCCACCTCGCGCCGTGTCTTTGCGTCTCAGGACGTCACGTTCGACGAGTCGGTTCCCTTTTACCGTCTCTTCCCCTACCGCACTGCCCCGCTCCCCCCCCCCGCCGCTCTTCCTCGCTCCAGGTGCTCCCCAGGTAGACCCCCTCCCCACCCCCGGTCCTGCTCCTTCAGGTGTGTCTCAGGTAGACCCTCCTCCCTTGACTGCGCCGGTTGAGGTCACTGGTGACTCAGGTCCTGCTGAGGGTGGTCCTGCTCGGGGTGCTACTTCTGGGGGTGCTGAGCCTGGGGGTGCGGAGCCTAAGGGTACTGAGCCTGGGGGTACTGAGCCCGGGGGTGCGGAGCTTGCGGGTGTGGAGCCTGGAGGTGCTGAGCCTGAGTGTGAGGGGTCTGGGGGTGCTGAGCTTGGCAGTACTGAGTCTGGGGGTGCTGCACCTGGGGGTGCTGAGGCGTCTGGTGAGCAGTCTCCCTGGAGCGGCCGTCTCCGTAGTCGCTCCGCTGGTGCCTCGCCGCTGCCCTCTCGTCGTCGACTCCCCCTCTCCTCCCTGCAGCTGGTTGAGTGGTACCTTGGCCGCCAGGATCGCGCTGCTGGAGCTGGTGACTCTGCTCCTGGAGTTGTTTCTACTGGAGGCTCTGCGGCTGCTGAGGGTGCGGGCGCTGGAGGTTCTGGAGCTGCTGGAGGTGCTGGCGCTGAGGGTGCTGGCACTGGAGGTTCTGGAGCCACTGAGGGTACTGACGCTGGGGGTTCTGGAGCTGCTGAGGGTGCTGGCGCTGGAGGTTCTGGAGCCGTAGGAGGTGCTGGCGCTGAGGGTTCTGAGTCTGCTGCTGCGCGGTCTCCTTGGAGCGGCCG